ATTTTTCTTTGTTTTATTCTTCATTTTGAACTTATGTATATATATATATGTATATATATATATGTATATATATATAATTTTTAATGTAGTATTATGCAGTTGAGTTTTAAACCATTTTAGTTTTAGACAGAAAATCATCTGTATCATGTAAGAGCTTATGCTTATCATTAATTTATTATAAATATTCGCAATTGTGAATTCAACATGTGATTAGTATTAGTAGTTATGTAATTTGTTAATTATGTTCGATATTTTAACTTTTTACATAATTCAATAATCAATATTGTAACTTTTTACATAGAATTGGGTTCTCCTTTACTTGAAACATTGACTACAATTGTTTTAAGAAACTCTTTAAATTTATTCCTCTTTTCAATGGGATACCTGCAAGTGACATGGTGTGGGTATCTCGAGCCTGATTGGTTGTTAAAACGTGGCTTTGTTTACGTTAGCAACTGTTTTTTACATTCTATTTAGAGTTGATTCACCCTGTCAAGTATCAATTCTCTATGTGATGCATTCTATAATCCTTCTTAAACATTCTTTCACCTTATATTTCTTACTTGACACAAAGCCAAACAAACTAATTTTGCATCAAAGTTGCCAGGTACACAAAACAAAAATATACTGCGTGTTATAATAAAATGCATTACCAAATAATAAATCTAAAAAATAATTTTATTTCAACAAATTCAATGTGCGATACGGTGCTGTATTTAATTAACTTCACATTCATTAACATTCTAACTCATGTGGAAGAACTTGGCTCAACTTTGACCCTCCATTTTGTTTATTTACGATCTACTGGCACTGACAACATAGATCACCTGTATGTGTATGTTTTATATTCTTCTCGAAACACAAGTACCCAATTGTTTGCTTTTTAATTTTCACTTGTTTAAAAAATAATGTGTTAAATAGTTTAGAAATGAATACTATCAATTACTATAAACCATTTTTAATATTTCTTTTTTGAAAAGTTTCTTTCACTTAGATTGGAAGAAACCAGTTTCCACTCTTAGAAGAAACTAACTTTATAGTAAAAAAGCATTTTTTTTTTAAATACTAGCGAAGGAAGTGTTCATTGTAACTAAATTAAGCTTCAATGGAATTTTAACTCTCTCCGATAGAATCCAACATGGGCTGGAAGGTTTTGTTAGTTTAGAAGTCAAATTTTAGTGGGACATCCCAGGGCAACATGTTTTTACTCAATCGAAGTTGCTCTTTAAATTGAGCTTTCCCTTGTAAAGTAATTTTAATTTGTCTAGAAATTGTAATTTTTTATGTTTAATTTAAATTATCATTAGAGGTCAATAAAATTTGCACAGCATTTTTATCAATTTCCTGTATATTAAGAATAAAGATAAAATATCAATCAGAAATTCCTAAGTTTGCTGAACCAATATTTATCTTTTTAAAATAAAAATTACGAAAAAAAAAGAAGATTGAATATGTTTACCATTTATGTTTTACTATTTTGAAATAGCATTTATATAAGTACGTTAATTAGTAAATTTATTTATTAAAGTTTAATAATCAAAACCTTTTATTTTTATTACTTCAAATATAAAAACACTGCATATAATTTTTTTTTTTTTTTTGGAAGTTGCAGAAATTTTTTTTTTTAAATTGTAAGTATTTTAAATAATTATGCTTCTTAAAATGTCTCTGCTAAAAGAATTAGTTTATAGGTTTGGAAAGTTTGTAATCTGCATAATTTCACTTATTTTTGAGTTTCAAAAATTGTTCGAAACTGTGACGTGTAATGTCTTGTTGTACAAGATTTTTTTTATTCCTTTAGTTCTGTAAAGGCTAATATAAAATGAAATCTGTTGCAATGAAAATGATGAATTTAATCACATATGTGTCATAAAAATGATAGATTCTTAAAATCAACTGAGGAAATGTAAAAATGTACACACTGTACAGTGTGCAAAAAAAAGGGGAAAAAAACGAACCACCCTGAATAACCTTTGATCTAATGGTTGGATCTTCACGTTTAAAGGACTCAATGGTTCGAGAGGGTAACCTCAAATATACTAATCAATTAATGCAGACGATATTTTAGGTTATGAAATCTAACACAGGAATGTACTTTCTCTCAATAAGCATGCCTTTTTTCGACAAATTCAAAATTCAGACCCCTTAATGTAATTGCCTAGTTTTACTTTTTGCGCATTTGGCCATAAAAAATTTTTTTCACTCAATTATAAAAAAAATTTATTCCTTGCAAAATAGGATTTTTAATAATTTATTATTTAATAATAGTCGAACAAAATTTAATTGTAAAGCATAAAATTTTTGCATCATCTTAAAGAATACAATTTTATAAGGCAAATTAAATTTTTTAAAATTCTAGTTGAAGCAAGCCAGTCATTGGCAAATTTTTTATTTTCCGAAATGAGAGTAGAAAAATCAGAAGTATTTCTTTCCTTTCGGATGAGCAAGAATAGTATCTTTAGAATATAATTCTACATAAAAAAGGGGAAAAAATTATTTGTTTTTGTATTTTTTCCCCAGCTATTTTATTGCTTTAACTCTTTCTTAAGTCTGTTTTATAAATTTAAAATCTTTAGATATGAAGATGCAGTTTTGGTTATGCCTATCATTTCAATTAATGTTATCATAATGCTTTTTTAAATTTATTGTTGTGTTTTTGTTGGAGAAAATAGTAACTTCCTTAAGTCATGAATTTGAAAAGTTAAAATGTAGCAGATATCCTGTCTATACTAAAGCAAAAAGGAAGAATGGGAATAACACACAAATTAAAATACAGAAAGGAACATGCTATAGTTTCAATTCTATAAACAAAACTATAGTATGTCCATTTCTCCTTTATTCACGTTTTTTAATTTTTGCTTTAGTCTACCTAGCACAAAGTACACCATATCCTTTTTGGATCATTATTCTATAATTTTTCTTCAGTTAGCACTCCCATCTTTTGACAAACTTTGTTTCGAATTTTAAAACTTGAAGAGTTTCAGTAAACCAGTTTCATAAACATGCACATCAAAATATTTCTTTCCTTTTCATCATCATCAATGGCTCGACAGCCCAGGGTGGGCAGTGGCCTTCTGAAGAAGTGTTTTCCCGACTGACCTTTTTCCTGCTAGACTTTTCGGTTATTAGTTTTTAAGACCAAAGGTCTTTTTCTAGGCCATCTATCCATCTCAAATTTGGTCTGCCTCTTTTTCGTGGGCATTGAAAACTCTTTTTGTGGTACGGTCTTCGTCCATTCTGATAACGTGGCCAGCCCATTTTATTCTTTGTCGTTTAATAAAGTTAATAATATCAGGTTCATTAAATGGGTGATAAAGCTCTAGATTTGATCTTCTAAGCCACGCACCATTTTTTTGAATTCCTCCGAAAATACTTCTCAAGACCTTTCTCTCAGAGGTACCCAACATATCCTCATCCGTACGAGATAGGATCCAGGTTTCACGAGCATATGTTAAAATTGATCTTAAAAGAAATTTATATAAGAAAACTTTTGTTTTTCTATGAATTAGATTTAATGTATTTTTGAATTCCTTTAAAACATTTATTGGCTATAATAGTTCTTCTTTGTACAGAACTGTAGTTCTCTTGTTGATTACAGAACCCAAGTAAACTAAATTGTCAACACCCTTAAATTTATAATCTTCAATTTCTAAATGGGTGTTCATTATTTTTGACAAATCCTTTATAGACATGCTTCATACAGTTTACGAAAACCTTTGCGAGTAGTATAATAGTTTGAATTTGACACATAAAATAATTACCAAACATTTAAATGTCATGTTTTATTGTTACATTTTTTTTTATGTAAGTCCAAATGAAAGAACTTAGTCACAATACTTTACTTTATTCTACTATATAAAATCAAAGTTCTTTCAAAATGTTTTCCAAACTATTTTTAGTGTTAGCCACCATTCCCCGTTTCCATACATAAAAGAAAAATGTCAACAATAGGCATTAAATAAAGATGTTATCTGTCAAAATTATTAAAACATGAATGGCTTGAGACAATATAATGTTAAGACACATCTTTAATTGTTCAGGATTGTACTTTTTCAGTATGTTTTTGTTGAAAAACACTTTAATTTTCATGTAAAATATGCTCCTGAGTATTATAATATAGTTAAAATTCCAGAGCCTTGTAAAATACCCATCTCAAAATAATATTGTGGTTGGTTTAAGAAGGACAAAAAGTGTGACTTATCATTATATTGCCCCCAAGTACTTCATATATGTATAAAGGGCAATTCAATTAAATGTTACCTTTAATTTATTTTAGCCAAATTCCAACTTACATTTTTTACCACTTGATTTATCAAGTTTACAAAGTGTTTCAGAATTTTGCAAAAAGTTTGAAGTGGAGAAAAAGTAAGTTATTTAAAATTGTTTTCATGCCTGTTTCAAGTTTGAAATCTTGTTTTCTCTAATTTAGTTAAGCCAGAACTGAATGTGTAATTAGCTAAAACTAAACATTTTCAATAAAAATTTTAATACAAGATTTTGAAGTTTGCAATCTTGTTTTTATTAATTTTTCTTGAAAATATTTAGCTCTGGATATTAGATTGAGACATGCAATTGCTGAAAAAATAAATTGTCCAAAAAATTTGTTTTAATGTGTAGATTTTTTTTAATTTGTAGTTTACATAAAAGATAAATAAGACTGTCATTTTTAATTATAAAAGTACGATTTATAATATTTAAAGAAGCAATGGACATTTTTTCAATTTAATAAATTTTTTTCTAATCAACGCATAAAATAATATTGAAAAAAATTGCATATTTATCCTTTTTCGCACTTTGCAAACTATTGTCACCCAAAAATAATGGAAAGATTTTTAAAACCTTGAAATCCACGGCGATAACAGAAAAAAGATTGATGATAAAACAATATCTATTTACAAAGAAATGCAATCGTACACATCAAGAAATGATTCATTAAATGTATGTTTCGAGTTTCACATGTTTTAATGAATAATATGGTAGTAAAATATTGATTTTAAAAAATATCTGTACAAATTAGAAGTAGAGCCTAAAATTTAATTTAAAAAATAACAATAGAGTTATCGTGTCAAATAGTGAATACATTGTTGCTTGACTTTAGTTTACCCTATCATAATATCAGGATTTTTAAAAAATCATGAGGAAATTAGCCATCAATAACTACCAAAAAAGAAAAAAATATCCAAAGGGCACATGGATTTAGCCCAAGTCAAGCACGTCAGAAAGTATTCATTTAAATGTGTGGTTCTAATTTCTTGTTTCTAAATAATATCATATGAAAATATCTGGATTTATAAAACCATGGGAGTATTAGTTGCAATAACTTTGAAATGCCAATTTTAAAAAAAGCAGCATCAAGGAGTAACTGATATAAATTGAATTTCGCATATCATAATATTAATGTAAAGCAACATAAAGATTTTTTTAAAAAAGCATTGAAAAAGTTTTTAACAATAATAGCCGATAAAATGTTCGAAACAACTCATGAATTTTGGATGGTGCGCATGCAATTTGAACGCATCAAAAAGTGATTACTCAAATGCAAGATTCAAGTTTCGTGTGTCGCAATAATTTCAGAATTTTAAAAGCGTTCCTTGTCAGAAACTAGTTATTTTATCGTGATCATGTAAAATCTTTGAAACTTATTTTGCATCTTGTTAATGTATATAGTGCTTAAAAATAGTTTTGGAGTGCCTAAAAAGTGCTTATTTTTTGTTGATTGGAAAAGCAATATCAAGGGAATATCTCTTTGCAGGCTCATTCACATGTTAATATTGAATGCTGGGGTTTTTGGCCTTCCTCATTCCCTCACAGAGGATGGCTTTGAAGAAACATTTCAAGTAAACCATTTGGGACACTTCTATCTTGTGAAGCTGTTGACACCCATCCTCATTCAATCTTCACCCTGCAGGATTGTTCTTTTGTCATCTGAAAGTCATAGGTATTTTTGGAAACATTTACTTCATAATATAAGGACTAGATTATGCTTTGAGCACTCAAAAATGGGGTTATGTCCTGCCCTCTTCATATTTAAGAAATAAAGTTTTTAGATTATCGAGATCCTTGGAATGATTCATTGACAGGGGTCAAAGAACACTGGGGTCTGTCTAGGGCCAAATTGACTACCGTTTCGCATTCGCAAATTCAACTTCAAAATACTTTTATAAAGGAGCGTGTAATTAACTTTTGTTGTCGTATCCTCGTAAAAGCAATAAACTTGGAGCGTTTCAATTTACAATGGAACCCACCCGTGGTTTGCTATTATGACGTAATAGAAGAATTTGCTTCTCACACGGTTTGTAAGAAAAGCGCTTCTTAGCGCAGTGTTTTTTTAAAATGAAATGACAAAGCTGTCGCTCTATAAAGTTTACGGGAAGTCGAAATTCGAACTATTATTTTAAACGTTATTCTAAATTTATATTAATAGACCTTTAATATATTTTTTTCTCTGGGAAACTTTTTTCTGTATGACCCAGTCGAAAATGTTCTCGTAATGAAGATAACTTTTACTGCTATTACTGTTAAATGTATGTTTCCATTAAATTCGAGTTGAAATTTAATTATGTGCAATGATTTTTATGGATTTTTAAATTTGGATAAAATTTTAAGCCCAAAATTTTTCAATAGCAAAATTGTTTTTGAACATATGAGAGAAATATCTATAGAAATGTACCAGTCATAAATGATCTTTATGTGTAGTGACAATTTTTGAAAATATTTTCTTATTTTATCATATTTTTGTGTTGGTTTGTTAACATAATTTTTAATTTTCACAAAATAAGTACCTCTTAATAAAAACCTAGACAGACCCCTGATTTAAATTTTTACCTGTCCTGAAAACTTTTTATGCATCGCATTTTAATAGATGGTTAAAACGATGTTTGGGACTCACAGGGCTGATTGTGCTCCTGATTTCCGGAATTTTCACTACTGGTGATCTGGAAGTTTCCGGAGATCGATGGTCCAGACGTTTCAAAAAATCATTGATCACAGAAATTTCTGGAAATCAAATTTTCAAAGGTGGAACTTAAAAACACATTTTATTTTATTTGTTTGTAAGGGAGAGCCAGAGAGATACTTTATAAACTTATATTCATGATTAATATTCATTTTTTATCAGTAAATAGTTGTTATAATCGTAAACTCAAGAAAGAAAGACATATTTGTAAATTTTAATTACTTCTCCAGGTCATCATAGGTATGTGTAAATGGTATAGGTATGTGTAAAATTTTAAATATATTTTAAGTAAACTAAGAAATATTGAGAAAAAGGGGAAAAAAACCTTGTTTAAATTGAAAAAAAAATTTTAACTGTTTTTTTTAACTCAAGAAATCTCATTTCCTGAATTTTGACTTGGGCTCACAATCACCCCTGGACTCAGAAATTGCACAATTTTTAAATTTGGCTGATAAATAAAGTGCTGATGCATTTATTTACTTTTTTAATATTGAAGCAAAATACTTCTAAAATAAATTATGTACTTTAATTTAAAGAATCAGGAATGCTTGAAATTATAATAAATATATCCTACAATCTAAGGACATTGCTTATTCATGAAAGAGGATTTCCTTCAAAATACAGTACACTCTCGATTATCCGTGCGCGGATTATCCGGTTTGCGGATTATCCGTGCTCATTCCGGAGTCACACAAAAAATATAAAGAGAAACATTTTCAAGATTAAAAAAAAAATTGATTCATGAAGTTATAACACTACCAAATTTTTGGAAGCAATATTCGTTATTGGATTGAAGTATATGGAATAACAGCAGCCTGGTCAAAGTTAAAATCGTCTACGTTATCATGATCTTGGAGAAAGATCATACCGCTTGATGAACAATCTTCTTCAGATGTTCAAGAAAAATATGATAACAGTATTCTCGAACAAGCAAAAGAAATCTAAGGTTTCTAAATTCTTGATGAAGAAAATTTAGAAGATTGGTTTCAAAGTGATGCATGTGAGCTTGTCTTCCAGTATTTGACTGATGAAGACATCGTTATGTTGTTAAATTAAATAATAATGATAGTAACTGATGCAGAATATGTAGTGAATGAAATACAATTTCTCATTCTGCTGCTCTGTGGAAACTTTATCAGATTATATGGGAGGATTTGATTACGGTGACATTAATGCGGTTCGCAAAATATGTTTATCGATATACGGCGAAGACTCATTACACATTTTTTAATAAGGAAAATTCCTAGTTTGATGTTATGCATGCAAGAGTCAGTAATTTTTATATTTTTTATACTGATATTGAATTTTTCTTTAATAAAAGGAGTTTTCGGATTATCCGTGTTTTTGGATTGTCCGTGCGACCTGTCCCAGTGATTAACTCGGATAATCAGGAGTGCACTGTACCTTTAAACTTTTCTTTGACTTAGAGGCATCCATGGTTTTGCATGAAAAGCATTGGAAATTTTTAATGAAATTGGTGTTGTGCAACTTCCTTTTAGAAAACCCTTGAAAGAACTTAGAATCCCTGGCTGAATTATTAGACAGATTCTATGTACACTTTTAATTATCAGGTGATACTATTCAGCTCCGTTGTTTCTTCTCGGTTTACACTTGTTTACGTTCCTGTGTCAAATGGTTAAATTAGACGACATATTATATAAATATAGAATATTTATTATATTAGTGTATTATAATAATGAGATCAAATTATGAGACACACTGTAGTTTTTGAATCGTTGTAGTGTAATCGATGTTTTATCGAACCCGTATTACAAGGAAAAAGTGTAATGCATAAAGTAAGAGAAAAAAGAAAAGTACTCCTAAAAGTACTAAAAAAAAATGGTAGAAAAATAATATTTAAAATAATAAAAAAATTTGCAAGTTTAGAAAAGAAAAACAAGTTTAAAAAATACAAAATTCTCCTATTTATTTTTTAAAAATAATTACAATTCCTAAATTAACTAATATAAACAAAACCAATGGTAAAATAACGCAATATATTTCATACTTAATTATACGGGGGAAACGATAAAATAAAAGGAAAACTTATTAATCTAAAAAACACTTGAAAATTATCGAACCGAAACGATAGTTAAAAAAGGCACTAGCATAAATATTAAAACCCGGAACAAGGCAAGATCAACGGAATTTTAAAAAAAAACCTAATGATAAAATTTATGAATAAAAAGAATTAATTTATTGAGTGCGAAATTTATCGTGAAAAGAAAAAAAAATCAAACGTAGTGGAATCAGAAAAACAAAACTGCAATCTGCTTCATAAAATAATCCTATGTTTAAATTAATAAACAATTCTCCTTTTATTTTTTTTTTTTTGTTGATAAAAACACGATATTTAATTACAGCAGATGTGATTCCACATCAATAAAAACTTGCAAATGATACCGCACTTCCAATAAATGAGAATTTATTCAGAAGAAAAAGATTTTATTTTTATTAATCGATGTCAAATAGATAAATATATTTTTCTCTTTCATCTTTTGTTCACTGATATGCATGCAATGCATTTTCCCCACCCCCTCGTAAATCAAACAGAAAACGAAATCAGCATGCCACACCCTTGAGCTTGATTGACGGACTAAAGGAGAAAATAAAACATTCCTCCCTTCCCTGCCTTCAAGGTCACGGAGGAAATGACGTTTCTCTGGGTAAACGGGGAAAAAAATTCTCCCCTTCCTTACATTTTCCTCTACTCAACTTCAAGGATGAGTTCAATTTCTGCTTTTTTTCATAATCGTTCTAGTTTAAAATGGCGGGAAAGGCGTTCAAAATTTTTCCCGGTTATCTGGATACCGGATAAATGGTTCTCTACTGTACTTTTATATTTAAACGTACATGAAATGGGGTATTTATTCAAGAGATATTTTATATACTTTCTATTTGTATTTATTTTTAACGTATTGCATTACACTGTTGACCCATTGATACAGGAACGAGAACAAGTGCTGCTCTTTCAGTCACAATAAAGCTGTATCACCTGATAATTAAGAGTGTGTGTTTAATAATTTAGCCTGTTAAATGTCCCCAATTGGTTAGTTAAAATATTAATTTGAAAAGTAGACTCAAAAACAAAAATCCCTGTTACATAAATCACATATTATTTAGGGTGATTCCTTCCTGTTTTCCAAATATCTCTGTAAGCTTCTGTTTTATACACTACTCTACATCTTGGTTGCATTATCTTTGTTAATTACATTATCTTCTGGCCAATAAGCAACCATTATCTTTTTAGGTTATGGGAAAATATTTAAATTGTCTAACCCTATATGAAAGTGCGACATTACTTTCAAACTACCCTATGATAATTTAATTATATTTATTAAAACAGGTTCTCTTTTTTAACGAAGGAGAATATTTCGGAGGCATATCTTTCTCCCAAAACACCAGACAAGTTCTATTCTATCATGGCATATAATGATTCAAAGCTGTGTAACATATTATTCTCCAATGAATTGAATCGACGCTTGTCCTCAAAAGGAGTCTTCTCGAACGCCGTTCACCCAGGAAATGTGGTCAGCAGTTATTTATCCCGAAACTGGTGGTTTTACAGAATTCTCTTTGCTCTTATTCGACCTTTTACTAAGTCTTTGGTGAGTGATAAAAATATTGTAACTCTTTAAAATAAATAAGACATAAAAAAAATGTGATTATCATTACGTAAATCATCAGCATTATCTGATCCCTTTAAGGGCATACAATAAATATTTGTGACATGTAAATATTTAATGATAAAATCTCTGATATTCGTCTTATTGAAACTTATTTAAACAACATAACACTTTTAATTATTCTTAACCGCTTTCTGTTGCTAGTTTTCAAAAAAAAAAATTTTCAAGAAATCAACATGTTTTTTTTTTTAAATTTTATTAATAAACGCAAGGAACTAAAACAAAATATAATACACAAGTTTAGTTTGGAAATTTAAATTTTTTTATACCTAAAAAGCATTTAATTTACCGTCAGTTTACTATTCCCCTGAGTTATCACGGGCAAATGTAGAATGTTAAATATTACTCTTTGTATGATAGTTTTTAAAACAAGGGAAAACACTAGGTGATACTTTCCTAACGACAGTGAAACGATTATCATTTTCTTTTTACTATTTTTTCTATATAAATACGGCAATCATGGTATATGCAATCTCACAAAACGCGTGTGGAAACCCACAATCTAACTGCAAAACTCCCAATGAAAGATTTGGCTACGCACCCCTTAGGAGAGACCCTTCACAAAACATTTCCCTTAAAAAGGGACAAATTTTCTTTAAAAAACCTCTTCGATTCATCACTTTATTTAAAATTTATTCCTTTTAAGACATGATTTTTCTCTTTATTTTTCACACAATCTTATTTACAAAATTGTTCCTTCAAAATGTATTCTAGCAACAGGCTGCTGCTACTTCTATATATTGTGCAACAGCCCATGAACTAGGTGGAGTAGGAGGGATGTACTTTAATAACTGTTACCAGTGCAAACCAAGCCAAACCAGTGCTTCAGAAGACTTGTCTAAAATGCTGTGGGAACTGAGTGAAACCATGATTAACAGGTCATAAATAAATGGGATTTTACTCAAGGTTTGTTTATTCTTCACAAAACACAAAGTTAGTGAAATTTTTATTTTTGCTTTTAAAAAAAATTCTAAAAAATCTGGTTTGTGATTTAAATTTTTTTTTTCTTTTGAATTTATAAGAAACATAAGTTTTTAATCAGTTTAAATTTAGAAATGGAATTATAGTTGAAATATTATTAAAAAGTCTGCCATTACATTACATGCTTGTCACATTTCATATCATTTTACATTTTCAATAATATTGCATTAACATTTCTTTTATACAGGGCATCTGAGCACCTGGAAAGTTATTGAAAATAATGGAAAGTCATGGTTTTCAGTGGTTAAATGCTAAAAAGTCATGAAAAATCCCAGTTCATCATGGATTTTGGGTATTGGACCCTTAGTCACGCAATTTGAAAATGCTGAATTGCGATTTCTATTGACATGATTTAAAAATTATATATAGCGATCTTTATTCATGCGATTTTTAAAAAATCGCACTTCATGATCTGTGTTCATGTGATTTAAAAATCCCTCATCACCATCTGCATTTTTTTTTTCGTTTGAGAAGTCACGCATCGTGGTCCATGTTTGCACAATTCAAAAATCACACATTGCAATTTCAATTCACGCTATTTAAAAATTACACAGTGGAATTCATATTCAAGCGAATGAAAATCCCTCATTGTGATCCGCATTCCTGTGATATAAAAATCGCGATCTACATCTGTGTGATTTTTTAAAAATCACACATCATAATCTGTAGTTGTGCGATTTAAAAATCATGTATTTGCAATTCGTATTCACATGATTTAAAAGTCACACATCATGATTTATTACATCATGATGCGCATATACATATTTATATCAATTTATTGTGCTTTCTTTTTAATTAAATTTTATATTAATAAATATAATGTTAAGAAAGAAAGATAAAGAGGGGATAATTTAAAGTTTTTGTGTTATGTTGTAAGAGTGTTCTTATACATAATACAAAATAACATAATAAACATGTAATTAATACATTTTTATTTTTTATGTATAGTTCTATTGAAATTATATTTGTTATTTATTCAACTAAATGGTTTAAACCTTATGAATATTAAATATTTTAGTAAAACCTAATATTAAACATGATTTCAGTTGGAAAATTTTTGAAGTTAATATTTTTAATTCCGGTTTAAAATGTTTTATTTCATTTTTTTTTTATGTATAGGTTATTTAATAGTACATGGAATGATGTTGATACTTTTGTTTCTTTGCACCTAAATTACAGGGATGTAAGACTTTTGCAAAAAGCAGAAACCCGCTTTTTTTTCTCCAATTTTTAAAACTTTCGACAACATTTCAAAAACGTAATTTTTTGGGTACCCAATTATTACGGAACCCCTCACCCATAACTGCCAAAACCCGAGCCGCCCGAATGACAGCCGTTCTGGGAACGAACTTTTTTTCCCTGCAGTAGCCTCGTGAAAAAGAATGATCATCAGGAGAAAATGGGTAGAGCTTCGGAAGCTGCGCCTCTACCTCGACAACCGCAACTTCCGCCGTAGACCGGAAAGGAGGAGGTTCTTGCTTGTCGAGTTCTAAGCAGTTCTGTTTCGGTCGTGGATATTTGATGCGGGGTTTTCCTCCTTTTGATGTGACTTGTATTGAATTTGTGCATCCATACTCTACTTCTCTCAACTCCACCAGCTCTTATTTTTGGGGCATCGCAAGATGATTGTATTTTAATGAATGCAAAGTGCTTACAATCGATGCTGCTGAGAAAAATAAATTTAAGTTTGATTGGTTAAATAAAACTGTCAAAGTGACTAAAACTGTTAGTAACTATCTATCAGAAGATACTGAGGTGAAAGTAAGCTGTTTTAACGCATAGAACACTGCCTCTCTCCCCACATCCCAGTGTCTGGGATTTATTTTATAACCGTCGTCGAACAGCCAACACAATTGTATGAGTTGTACGACTACTAATCTTCAACTCCATAGTCTTGTCATTTTGAACCTATCCAGAAAACAAGGGAACTCCTGGATCGAGTATTGGGAGAAATTTGCCTTTGTGGAGGACTTTTTGATGGAGCTAACCCACAATTGCGTTGCATGGAGAGGAAGACCACGAGAACCTCCCTTGGGTTATCCTGACGGCAAGGGGACTCTAACCCATGGTCTATCTACCACTGAGGATATTTCCCGTCAGCACTATGGTCGGTGCAAGCCAAATGCAGAATTCGTATCGACTGAGGTTCGAACCTTGTTCACCGCATTGGAAGACAAACGCTCTATCCATTGATCCATAATGGCTCCCAGTGTCTGTGTAGTAAAAGTTCAGCTTTTTTTTAAATATTTTCTCCACTTTCATGCTTGTAAATTAACATCATTCTCAGAATTGACCTTTTTTAAAAATAGCATATTTAAATTTTATCAGATAAAAAATTGTTAGCTTTGTAAATGATCTTAAGTAACATTATTAAATATTTCTAAATCCATGCATTATTATTATTATAAAAATGTGCAAAGCATTGCTCAGAAAAAACAATATTGTTTTAAGTTTTACGTGCATTAGGCCTTCTATTGAGTACTAATATTGTATGTAAGTGTTTGTGAGAAGTGATGCATTTAAAAACTCCTAGATTTAGCAGATACCCAGTTTATAGTACATTTAAATGTACGATTCAGTTAAATTGATAATAATTAAATACTGCGAAAAAGACTAACAAGCTAATCAAAAATATATAGACATTTCTTTTTTAATATTTGGCATAGTGTAGCCTTCTGCCTTACTTTTATTGTAGATTGACAATTATTTTTCAGAATAGCTAAACTAACCAATTTATTAAAAAAATATCACTCTTTAAGAAAAAGCAGTTTTTAAGATACTTCAATATTTATGCAATATTAAAATAAATTGTGCTTTTGAAACTAGGTACTAATATAATAATAATGTCATTTCATTCGAAAGTTTATCTCATTAATACAGCAATCAATAAATTTCTAAATCATGAAAATTTCATTTATTATAATGCTTTGTAATTTTTTTAATAAATGTTTTCAGGAAGAAGAAAAAGATTCCAAGAAGATTCAACATTTTTTACTGAACTACTGTCATTTATCAAAAATCACAAAAAACTAATTGTAAATATTCAACATGTTATTTTCATCTGAATGAAAGACTGTATAGGCTATTTATTTTATAACAGAAATCTTTTGAAACAATTTGATTAAAAGAGTTTGCTTTTTTACATCACCTATTTTAGTCTTTTATTTGCCTGAAAATTTATTTTTTGCAAATTTATAATTTATTTTCAAAAACATAATGGCCAAACCAGTTAAGCGTTTCTGAGTGATTGTCGAATCTCTGGTACTACACTTAAGATCCACCTCTATGCATAAATCTTCGACTGAGGCCTGACCTAATCTCAACAGAATAATGCTCAGATCTAAAAATTTAAGACTAACCACACTAAGTCTAGACCTAAACTTTAAACAGAATGTTTACTAGAATGAGATCATCATTACTAGAAGCTCTTCCAACAACATGGTTGTTGTGTGTCTCAATTAATTTAAAAAGGTTTTCATATCGATTACTAAAATCTAGTTTCTTCCAAGCTAAGATTGTGGCTGTTGAACTTTTTGAGGTGGATGTGGAAATTAGTAAAAAAACGAAAACTTTTCGGCAATTTATTTTTGTAATATCTATCAATTTATAATACTTCCAGAATATAAATTAGTTAATAATTTATATAGTGCACCTGCCTACACTTTTGTTGCACACAGTACAAATTTAATCAGTAACTTTAATTTAAATAAATGACTTTTCACTGTTTTTAATTAATGTATCTTACTATGAAAAAAAATACTAGTATGATTATTATTAATTTAATGAATGTATCTTACTGCAAAAAGTTACGTTTCAATGACAGTAGCATTTTATAAAATTTTATCATCAGTTTTTGAAGCCTGATTAGAAAAAAAGCACTGTTAAAAAAATACATACCATAATAATACATTAAAAAAAGTTCAGCATTGTTTCTATACACAACTGGGAAAATAGAAAAAATATATGTAAAGTAGCAATAGAATCACTTGAAGGTAAAATTAGTGACTTCAATTCTAGATTCATCTTATTGTAAATATTAGAGGTACATTTTATAAATATTTAGGAAATACTAGCATTTTATTAAATATCTATGGACTTTATGTTATGCTTGGTCTTTTTTTTTTTCTGTACTCAACAAAGTTTATCTATATCTGATAAATACAGGTTTACAGGTTTGTTTTTCAAATACAGGTTTGTTTTTCAATTACAAAGTCACAAAACGAAAGAGTCATTCCCAAATTGAAAGAAAACCAATCCGAAGAAAAAGAAACTTGAAAAAATTAAGAAGCAGAATTTTTTTGTTTTTTGAAAAACTTTATACAATTGAAATTAAAGTTCATAGAAATAATAGTCTTGTAATTGCAACCTCTGTACTATGAACTCGAAGATTTCATATATATATTTATAAAAATTTTAAAAATTATAGAGAAAACATGAAAAATGATAAATATTAATGAAAAGAGAAGAAAAAAAAAGTTGGAAAACAAAATAATGAAAAGATGTAATCTTGTCATCAACTCACACGATTATATCCACAAAAAGGAGTGCTTTCTAGTATTGTATTAATCTAGCCAAATCAAAATATAGTAAATTAGTGTGAGGAGTACCCATAAAAAAATGGAAATGAAAATAGAACATATTAAGTAAAAAATATGCGGAATGAAACATTTAAAGCAGAAAATGGAAAATAAAATCTTAAAAAAAATACTGAATAAAATGTAATCTACTTTAATGTAAAGGACAAAATATGAAAATAGAAGCGTAAATAAAGGGATCTTTTATGGTGCGTTCTTATTGCAGTACTGAAGCTCGTATGATTTGTTGTTTACTTGGATTGACCCAATAATGAATGTGCACAAAATAATAATATTACACTGAATAATTTAAAGTTTAAAATTATTAAGGTTGATATTTAATTACACAATTTTAATGATTTTAGAAAATTAACATTAATTTAAAAGGAAAGAAAAGAAACACGATTTACCCGGTTTGTACAGATTTTTAGATTTGAACATTGTAGAAATATAAATTTACTTAACAAACAAGTTTTTAGTAAATTAATTAACAACAATAATTAATTCAATGATTTTATATAGAACTTAATTACATTAGTTTGGTATCCATTGTTTTTTTTTATCAAATTTTGAAAGAGTTTGTCTATTTGTTTTTGACTAAATAAACACTACTACACATTCTTTTAATTCTATTCATTTGATTAAAAATGGTATTTTAATAGATGATTAGCGAAACATTAGAATTCCAAGTAATTAGTTTATTTATATTAAGATAATTTCTTTTATCGTATAAATCAACAATGCAGATATTTTCTTCTTTTTTAGTTCTGAAATCCACAAAAATGAAATTAATATTATCATAATGATTACGAAGCCAGATTAATTCCTCCAGTTAAATCTTATTTAAGAAAATTGTACAATCTTGAAAATTACAGATAATTAAATCATCAATAAATCTAAAAACCAATTTAATATTACGAGTTTAGTTTTTTTTTCATACTAGTGTAAAAATAAGTTAGCTAAGAGATATGAAAAATTAAACCCTTGTGGTATTCCAGCAATTTGAATAAAAATATGTTTTCAATTGTAAATATAATTATTAAAAACGCAAATATTCATTAGAATTTCCCATTCAAAATCGCATTTGAGGATATTTTTAAAATCTTTGTAATAACTCAAAAGAATATCTTTTAGTTTAGAAAGGGGAATGCTATTGAAGATATCCTGGAAATCAAAAGTCGCAATAGAATTAATTTCATTTCGTTTCGTTTAATAAATTTAAAAATTTGTTGATTATTAGTGATATACAAGAAAAACCTTCTTTAGTAATGATGTTAATAGTTATATTTAAGGTATCACAGAATGCTAATTGTGACGAAATTATCGATTTTTTTTTATTTGCATTTATTAATTCCGCTACTTTCTACTTTATGAAAATATACCTTACTTTTTATTCTATTCACATTATTTATGAAGTTACAGCAGTGTTTGTGTGTAGAGATTTCGATAAAATTAAACCGGAAGTTGGAAATCAAAACCGGAAGTCATTACATTTTAGCGTATTATTATATTCTTTCGGTGTTTTATTTAATATTTTTAAAAAATATTAATTATTTTAAGTTTATAATTCGCGATCGCAACGCTCGAGTACGACATCTAGCGGGAGACTGAAAATATCAGACATTAGTTCCCACAAAACCATTGACAATGACGGACGCAATTTTATTAGCAGCAAATATCTGTCTTCAGCAGGCGGCTTACTTCTAACACGACCTCCCCCTTGCCGCTTACTACACATTCCAGTAGTTTTAAAAGATTTCCACAGCCGTTAAACAAGACTGTCAGCGACGTCGAACTCCCTGGCAACGTCTCTTATTTTTCGCCCTTCTTCGATCTTTCCAATAATTCGGTCACGCTTAACCTTCCGTTAGTCGCGCACTTG